ACACCATTTATCATTATCTACAAAATTATAAAAAAGTACAAGTAAATATTTTATTGTCATCCCTAACATTATTAGTTTATCAATTACCTTCAAAACTCCCAATTCGTTCACCATTTACGACAAATTCCAAGTGAGACACCTGGTTATTATCATCATTAATATCATATTTGCCACTCTTTCGTTGGTGTCTATCTTTTTTATTGATCAAATGTAATGATGATGATATAGCTTTGGAGGAATTTTGATGAGCATAGGTATCAGGTTCCTTAATTATTTGTCTTACACGTAGTCGATCACTTGTGATGTCTATCCATTCATCATAAAATGCAGGCACGTCATCATAATGAATTAAGATTCTACAACCTTTTGATGCAATTATAGTTGCAGGCATCCATTCCCTCAATCTATCACGAACTTCAATTTTATTACCTAATTTGAAACGTGTCTTTAACTTTGCAAGAATATTACCATCAGTTAATATTACATCATTACGGGCACTACGACGTGTGTTTCTTGCAAAATAAAAATCACTAAAGTCAAATGAATCCTCTAAAGGATCTTTAGTGATGAATTGTTCAGTTTGTTTATTTTGAATATCAGAATTATCAATTGCAGTTTTTAATTTTTTGTGGTTATGACTTGTGTTGTCACTTTCAATTGATGTTAGAGAAGTATTTGACAACCCCTTTTCAGAATATGTGGAATAATTTGATAGTGAAGGTGATGAAGATGAAGATGGAGATGGAGATTTTGATGAATGAAACAAAGAAGATTGGTTTGCATAATTATTGATTAGTTGTTTATTATTTCTTTTTAATAGAGATTTATAAAAATTTTCAGTTTGTTCGATCAATCCCTCATCCTTTTTCATAATATCCAATTTTTTTTGTGCTTCAACTATTTCTTCGATGGTCATTTCCTTCATTCGTTGACTGCCAGCAGGTATCCACTCATCAAAATAATCACTCCAACCATCAAAGTGTACACGAATTCGGCCATCCTTAACATCCATCATAGTAGCTGAATACCATCCGCCATCACTATAAAACACTTTAACACGTTTATACAACTCAAAACCATATTGAGCACGTCGAGAACGAAATTCAATATCATCATCAAATAATGATCGACAATACAAGCATAAATCAAGACTACCAACTTTTTGCACGTTCAAATGCAATATTTTACACGATTCACATAGTTTTGTTTCTGGCTGCTGTTGTTGCTTATTATTATTATTTTTGGATAAAAGTTGTTTTTGTTTTTCAGCGGCAGGCTTGTTGGATAATTTTTTTGATTTTATATTATTGATTTTTTTGTTTGCTTTTGTAACTTTTATATTTTTATTACTGGTAATTGTCACATTGTTGTTATTAATCGTAGTATTTTTGATAATCCTTGTACTTCTTCTAATTGAATTAATTGAACCTCTATAATCATTATTATTATTATTTGTGTTTGTATTTGTATTTTTATTAATGATATTTCTATTTCTATTACCAATATTTCTAATATGCCTAATAATACTGCTATTATTGTCATTACATATAACAACTTTAGGATTAATGTCATAATTATTTGCACTAGCAATAGCATTGGAATTATTAATTCTAACACTAACTCTATTACCTATTTCATTATTTATATTAGAATTACTATAATTATTACTATTACCTATTCTACTACTATTAAAACTATTACTACTAATATTACTGCTACTAAGACTGCTAAGACTGCTAAGGCTGCCAATGCTACTAAGACTACTAGTGCTACTGGTGCTACTAGCTTCACCTTCACTTAATGAGTCTTCAGTTTCGGTCAGAAGGTTACTGCTAAGTGAAGAAGTGTCTGAATCTTCCTCATAAACTCTTTTAATAGACTTCATGGCAAACTTTTTTTTGGCTTTTTTTTGTACGTATTGTCTATATTGTCTGTCAATTATATAAATTTATGCAAAATTTACGAAAAAAAAAAAAGATTTTCTTTTTTTTGCATGAATTTACAATTTCGTATGTACTCTTAATATATATATAATGTAATAATATATATTATTATTGTATACAGTTATTATTTTAATTATTATTTTTTTTTAACAATGAATTAGAAACCATCACGGCAAAAAAAAAAATATTGGTGTGTGCTACGAGAAAGCATTTTTTTTTCAATTTGTCAATTTGAAAAGAAAGTTGCAGCTTTTTTAAGCATAAAATTTATGATGAACTTTGACTTGCAAAATAAACGAATTTATTTAAAATTACATAAAACGCGAATATCTTTTAATAAAAAAAATTAATTCAAAATTAATTAAACATCATATTAGTTATAAGTATACTTGTATTTTTTTCAATTTTAGTTTTTTTTTTTTAATTTTTTTTATATAGTAGATAATCAAAAAACTCAAGTCTGTGTGGTAGAAGTTACACAAACATTAGTAAACAAACGTAATAATAACAAACACCCCTTTTTTTTGATTTTTCTAGCAAATTTACACGATCATAACCTCTGACAAATTATTATTGCTTATTTATTTCACATGTTTAGTAAGGAATGAAGAATATTCTCTTTAAAAATTTGCAAGAATTTTAACGGTCTCTTTATATTAACATTTATCATCATTTAGCCATTCATTAGAAAATGCCGGCCAGAGGTATATACTCCAGTCCGTGGAGGATATGCACCTACCTCAAATTGAATATGTTCTAACCTTTTCAATCCGAGTATCGAACGGCTAAAATTAAAAAAATCCGTGTAACCCTTAATCTGTGATGCATAATAATAACATCTATAAATAAATTGATTTTTTTTTCTATACCTTTGAAATTAAGGATCGTCGATTTAAATGCTCACCTCGGCCCATGACCACCTGATTAAAAGCCCAATTATGATTGGTTGAATTGAATTACAGAAAACGATCGACATCAATAAGTAATGCTAAGCCTTTCTTCTGGGGTTACATTTCTTTTTCTCATACCTTGGATGTCAATTTCTTCTAAAGAAAACAACATCAATTCCCGCGAGAATTATCTTAATACATGGGTAATTAATTTCACAGTAATGGTAATAATAAATAAAAATGATAGATTTATAATTTTATTTTAAAAATTTTAGATTTTCTCTTTGATTTTTTATAATCAATAACATCATCTCTAACAACTCGTTTATTATAATAATTGGTATCAGCAGAAGACTCTTGAAGCTTTGTGTTTTTATAATTCTTAACTAAATAAAATTTCATTAAATCTTGAAATAATTCAGGACTGAGCATCTGTTCATATGGTAAAACACTATTAAAAAATTCTGTTGAAGTCATTGTATAAAATCTAATTAAAGGAATGAATTTTTCCAATTTGGTTTTTAAAAAATCAAAATCTTCTGTAGTATAAGCTTCAACACTTTTCTTACTGAAAGTAGTAGGTTCAGAGTGCTTTGATATTGCCCAATTTATAATGTTTTGCCAAATATTCACTTCGTCAACACCAAAATCATTTCTGTTTAATAATAATAAAATTGCTGATTCTGGCAAACTTGTAAAATTTTTCTCCTTGGATGAATTATCAAATAATAATTGAGAAGGGAATGCGCATATTAAATCCGACCAATAATTTTGTAATTTTTTAAATTTCTCTGACAAAAAAATTGTTTCAGAAGTTAAAACAATATTTTCTTCAATATACTCTCTAAATTTTTCAATAATGTGATTTTGTAATTTATCAATTAATTCGTTATTGTCATCTTTAAGATCAAATTCTTTATAAATAATGAGTAAATCGAAACATTCTTTTGATGTAAATTTTTTTAATTTCAATTCAACCTCATCATTAATATATCTAATTATTTAAATTAATTATAATTTATTTTTAATAAATAAAAAAAAAAAGTTAAAACATTTAATTAATTAATAAATTAATTAAACCTACTTGAAAATATTTTTGTAAACCGATAAATTAACATTGTTTTCATTTTTAATTTTAATTTTTTTATCTTTTTCGAATGTCATTGAATTAAAATATGTTGACTCTTTTTTTAAATTATCAGAAACTCCCTTAAAAACTCCTAAACCTTCACCATGCCCATCAACTTCAATTATAACATCATATTTGATATCATTTGAACGTTTAATTGTCAAAAAATTTGACATTATGAATAAAACAGAGAACAAACAAATGTGTGAAACGAAATACTAATACTACTAATTCAAGTGAATAAAACGAATTCTAAAATGATAATTCTATTTTAGCAAGAAATGTTGTACAGTAAGAATTCTATATTAAGTAAAATTGCCAAAGTACATACAAATTCATCAAATTCATAATTTTTTTTTTACAACAATAAATTATTTGTCAATGCGTGTTTATTGTCCACGATATTCAAATAAATAAATAAATTTATTAAAAAACCAATCCAACCATCATAATCAACTTTTATGTTGAACCAATACGAAGTACTCTTACAAATGCATCTAATTCTTCAATTGTAAGATTCATATTTCCAAGTAAATTTTTAAATTTTTCCTTACTATCAAAACAATCATCTGGTGATGATTTTTTAGATGGAAATATATTTTCATGTAGTTGTGGAATATCATGAGCCAATCTATAATTATCAATATTAAGTTGCTTTTTACTATTAGTAATCTGTTTTGAATGAGTCGTTTCCAGTATTTCAAATCAATTGATTGATTAATTACTTACGCATAAATAAAAACCGTACATAAAATATTATTTTCTAAATCACTCATTACCACGGATGTTGTATCATATTTAAAGGTGCTCATTAGATCAATAAGCTCTCTTTCAACACTAATGGTGATATGCAGATGTTCTTTAAGTGTTTTAAAACTAAAAAAAAACATTATTAAAAAATTTTTTTATTAGTTTTATGACAAAAGGAAATAATCTTAAAAAATAATTACTTGATATAAAACAGATTAAAAATACCATTCCATAATCTTTACAGTAAAGATATTTATTCTCATAAGTTTCACCTCATCAATTTCATAATTTAACCTAAAATCTTCATCATCATCATCATCATCGTTATTATTAATTCTATTATTTTCAAATTTTTGATTTTCATCTAAAAAATATTTATTAGCATTAACAAAATATTGTCTTGTATTTTTGGATGTCATTCGATCTAAAGCTGTCCAAATTTTTCCAAATAATGACATCTCAGTTACTACAGCTCTCTTCTTTTTTTGAACTTTTTTTGGGGATGTTAAAGGTTTTTCTTCTTGGGGAGTCTTTTTATTATTAATCATAGTATCATCTTTTGATGTATTCTGTGGTTCTAATTTTTGCAAATTTTTTTGAATATCTTTATTATTACTATTATTATTGTTATTATTGTTATTATTGTCATTATTATTATTATTATTACTGTTGTTGTCATTGTTAATGATGTTATCGTTATTGTTATTGTTTTTACTATTAGAATTTAAATTATGATTTTTATGATCTTGATTTTCTTCTTTCTCATCATCAGAATAATGAAACTTTCCATCTATAAACAATGAATTAGCAATTGACATTGCTAGTTCATATGATTTTTCTTCTTCTTCTCCTTCTCCAACTTTTGTTTTTTGATTTGCATCATTTTTGCTAATTTTTTCACTTTTTTGTAATAAAAATGTTGTTTTGGGTTTCTCGCCATCACCATCATCAGTTCTGCTTTTTTTATTGTAATCAATACGAAATCCTTCAATAGCATCATAAAAAAATTCTGTATCAGCAGGAATTGATGGATCTGGTGGATTATTATTATTATTATTATTATTGTCATTTTCTTTGATTGTCAAGCCAGGAGGAGCAGGCGGTAAATTAGAAAGTATATGTTTAACATATGAACCAGTGCTACTATTTTTGTTATTATTAGTTGTTAAAGAAGAAGATTTTCCCTTGATAATATTACTGAATATTTAATTAATTGTATAATTAATTAATTAAAACTTTTCGTCAAATTAATTAACAAAATAAAATCATACTTGTTAATGAAACGAGAAAATAAAAATCTAACTGGAATATTTACAACAATTACCTAATATCAACATTTAATGGTAAAATATCAATATGTTCATCCCTCCATGCTTCCAAGTTTCTCATATAAATTGGTTCCACGGATAACTGTTTTTCATAATATTTAGATGATGTATAACATGTCTTTGAACAAAAACATTTTAATTCTGTTATATCGTATATTTTTCTTGTTTGATTAGAAATTCTAAATTGTCCTTTAATTTCCTTTAAAAAAAAAAATAATAAATATCTAATAAATATCTAGCAGATATATAAATGACATAAATATATAAATTATTTACTTGACATTTTTTGTCACATATTGGATATCCACACAATTTATCTGCATTTCTTTCTTCAATAACTTCTTGATAATGATGTGGGGACATATATTTTGCCTATAAAGATATAAATAAGATATTATATTCACGCCTTTAATAATAAATAAATAAAGAATTATATTTAGTTGTTTTCAAAAAAAAAAAAACTTTACTGCATCACGTAAAATTTCCATATGAACTGTTTCAAATAACTTTTCTTGCCATTCTGTTATCAATTCTTCATATTCTTTAAGTTTTTCAAGATTTTGTTTAAGATATATTTGTTTTTGAGTTAATTTTCGGGGTTTTTCATTTTCGCTGCTAGAAATTTTTTTTCCAGAACTATTATTTTTCAAATTATTTTTTTGTCTATATTTCTTTGTAGAAGAATTTTTATTTTCTTGCATCAAGGACATTTTTTAATTTTCTCTCGAAGTTAAAAAATTTTATTTATTTATTATTATATAAAATCACATGAATGATAATATCACGTGACTTTGCGGAATTACATGTAATAGTGGCTTTTTTCTTTAAACAAAACTATTCTTTTAAATAACCAACAGGTATCATGATTTCATTTGTACGAAGGAATGGTATTGTAAACTACAAAAACATCACATGTAAAAGAAAAAAATTTATTATTATTATTATTGTTATAAAAATATTAGCATATTAATATCATTACACATACTGGTGGATTATATCTAGCCAGGACAGGTTTTGTATCTTCATCAACCTTAACATCAGGATCACTAGTCTTTAAAAGTTTTATCAATTCTTTTTGTTTTTGTTCCACAACCGATTCCCAAGTAAGCCCTGAAAATTTTTCTACAGCATAAACTTTCTCAGGTACTTTGACAAGCTTTATCCTTTTATCCACTGGCGTCGGCAAATCAGAAATATTCTTATATTTTGAAGGCATCGTAAACGACATTGTACATTTTTTCTTTTCAGAATCTGATGACGATGCGTTGTTGGATTCGGTGGTAACTACTGGTGCTGTCTTTACAACATCAATAATTCATTATTGTTAATATTAATTATTACTTTGCACAAAATAAGTCACATTATAACTGAGTGTATTTTTATTTGCTAATTTACCATTTCAACTTGTTGAATATTTGTTTGTACCTTAGTTAAAACTGGTGCAGTCTATTATTGAAGCAAAATATCAATTAATTGTGTTGGAAGAATAGAAAATTTTTCAATGAAATCGTTAATCATCATCATATCATTATTATTTACCATTGCGATTTCTTCTTTATCTAATTCGGTCAAAACTGGTGCAGTCTAATATATTTTAATTCGTTAGTTAGTTAATTTATTATTACTATTTTTATTTCCTTTCTGTAAAAAAATAAATTTTTTATTACCATATTAATTTTATTTTGTTGTTCGTCGTTATTTTCACCATCACTTTTAATATTTTTACCAAAAATGTAATCGGCTAATATGCGAAATCCACCACTTGCACTAGTCATATCACCTTCATATTCGACTTCTGCCCTGATACAAGCTGGATATTTGCGAATTTCATATTGGGGGGTGGTTTTTAAAACTTGATGTTCAGGTATTTCAGCGGATATTTTACCGAAAACTAAAGACAACATTTTTTTATGAAAAAAATTATTTTGAAAATTGGAAATTGGAATTTGAACTGAAAATCGAATATTTAATTTAACGATAGATCGATTTTTGTATTCATATTCACGATTTCAATGTAAACCTACCTTAATATGGTAACAGCAATTTACACATTGGATCGTCCATAAATAAGATCATTTTATCAAGATCTTCGATTTTAGTTTTAAAAAATTCCAAAGGTTGTTTTTATTTAAATAGAAATAACAACAAACCAATTTAACCGGCAGGGAAAAAAGAAAAATCCGATTAAGGAAATAAATTATTAATATTATGGTAGTAAGCATCTACTACATTAATTATTAATAATACTATTGTTGCTGCCGTTAGAAGGCAAACAGTTATAAAAATCAAATCGTTATTCGAATTATTACTATTGTATTCTGGTTATTGTTGTTATTGTTTATAATATTTATTGAAATTCTTGAATGAACGTGACTATGATCAGGATAAAAATCTAGTGTTGATCACACACCTTTTATTTAAAACTTGAATTTTTGCACTGTTAACGAATTTATCTGTATAACATAATCTGAATTTCATGCATGAACAATCTGTATTTGGGGTTTAATAGTAAAATCATCTTTGAAAAATTGTAAATCAATTATGGATGGGAAAGTGAAATGGCTGATGGCAACAAAGTAAATTGAGTGAATAACCTTTATCAGTGAATGGTTTAGGGTTTGATTTGATATGTGTTTATCAAGTATCAAGCCAAAGTTTGTTGTGATTATTTTCTTTTATTCGTGGAAAAATTCAAGCTGCTTATATGCATTTTGATTAATTACAACCAGATTTTGTTGAAATATTTTTACTTTATCGACTTTCAATGTTTTTGCATCCTCATCTAGAGTGTGTTTCATCCACCAATTGATTAAGACGGTTTCGTAGACCATTGAATATTATTGTATTGATTTTTAATGTTTTTCCCCAAATTACTTTCAATTGATCGTTTATGATATCTTGATCAAACAATTAAACTGAGGAGGTAAACAACTCAACATGAAATATAGAGGAATGATAATTGTCATTTTTATAATAAAGCGGCACTATTAGAATAATATTTTCAATATCAATACCATTAATAATTAATGATTATTGGGAATGGAGAATTCACACTCGCTATAGAAAACTGAAGGGAGTAATAATCGATGAGCCAATTCGTGATGACTGGATGAATTACAATAAGTTGGACACGTTCAATATATGCTTTATGCTTATTATCACAAAAACCAATGCATGAAAAAAATTTTATTGATGTTAGTGTATCCTGGATATTTTTCTTTTTTTCACTCCCGTTTCCTTCTACATGCTGATTATATATAAGCTTCATCAAAAAGGCGTCTTAATGTTAAATGCATTATTAAAATTTACCCGAAATTCAATGTAACATTTCCTGAAATGCCCTATTTTCAAATATTACATTCGAATTGAAGCATAACCATCAAAAATTTTGATTCAAATATTCGAACCATTTCAACGGTTTAAACCAAATACACCATAAAAGTCGCGCGCATTTTTAAATTATTAAACTTTGACCGAAATTCTTTTGACAAAGTATATCTCGCTTCAAAAAAAAAAAAAAAAAACACAATCAATTGTTGAAAAACGTACATAATAATCTTTGACGTATGATAACACACGTCTTTGAATAAACGTGTTGTTTTTGGAGTTTTTTTGTAAACAAGAATAATTTTTTGAACAAGTCCTTTGAAAAGTTTTAAGAGAAAAGACGACGCAATCATCAGCATTTATAAAAATAATGTACCCAACTACAGCATATTTAGAATTATTGGCGTTCACAAAAACACCAAGGATTAATGATTCAAATTAAGATTATTCTGAATGCTTTATATGAAAATCAGTCACGTGACATAACAAACAAAGCAAAATGATAATCTTGGTTTATTTGGTTAAATAAATATTTAATAAAATATCATATCAAGTAAAAAGTTGGAAAAAAATGAATAAAAAAAATCAAAATCCAATTGCTCATTTAACTTCTGGTGCACTATCAGGTTTTGCTTCTTGTGTATTATTACAGCCTTTTGATTTAGTTAAAACCAGGCTTCAACAATATTCTGTTAAAAATCCACAAATTATTAAAAATGCTACTTCTTCTTACAATAGTAATAGGTATAATAATGATAAGATCTATAAATCGATAATACTTTAAACTGAGTGATTTTAATTTTTTTTTCAAAGCGCCCTTTTAAATACTGTAATAAATATAATCCGTCAAGATTCGGTGATAGGCTTATGGCGAGGAACTATTCCAACAATTATAAGGTGTGTGCGTGCGCGCAGATATTTATTATTATTTCTATTATGTATACATATTTACAAGTTTCCTTCTTTATAAAAATAAAAATAATCAGAAATGTCCCTGGAACTTCATTGTATTTCCTTACATTATCAGAAGTTCGTTATTTGTTATCAAAAAGTCAACAAAGTCGACAATTTAATCAACAACATAATGCTGTTGACAGTTATGGGAGTGGCAAAATGTCAACTACTGGATCATCATTGCCTATTTTGTCAAATAGAGATAACATGATTGCTGGCATGTTTGCCAGAGGTTCTGTTGGATTTGTAATGATGCCAATCACTGTAATCAAAATTAGGTATGAGGTATGTGTGGTTTACATATAATAATTGGAATAAATAGATATTATAAATTTTTAAAAATTAACTTAAAATTTTTTTTATTCGAGTATCATAGAGTAATCTTTATGCTTATAAGAGTGTATTGGGTGCATTTACTTCTATTGTGAAGAATGAAGGAATAAAAGGTAAAAAACGACAATGATGATAATGATATTATATAACATAAGTTATTATTTATACATGTCATTTCTCTCTTAGGTTTATTTTATGGATCTGGTTCAACAGTAATTAGAGATGCTCCATATTCAGGATTATATGTTTTATTTTATGAAAGATGTAAATTATTGATAGGTGATTTTACTTTACTTAATAATTAATTCGTCTAAAAACATCAAAATGGACATTATTATTAAATTTATTATTTAATTTATTAGCTAACGTATCATCCTTATCGTCCATAAATATACCAAAACCTACAATCCATATGACATCTGGTAATTGACTTGCAAATATACTTGTATAATGATAATTATAATACTCTATTAATTTATTTTATAAAAATCTTATGTAATGTAGCAATTATAGCAGGATTATCAGCAACGATGATAACACATCCGTTTGACATGTTAAAAACTCGTTTACAATTAAAACCAATCGAATACAAAAATTTGTTTTACGGAGCCAATAAAATTATAAGAGAAGAAGGATTTCTGAGATTATTTGACGGGATGAGCCTTAGATTAAGCAAGAAAACTGTACAGGCTGTTATTAATTGGACATTATATGAATCGCTTATTAATTGGTTCTATGAAAGAAAAATAGATGAATAATATTTTCTATTAATATTGTTATCAATAATATTGTTGTTGAATAAATTTTTGCAGATACTTTATTAGTTTCTTTTTATTCGATTTAATTAATTAATTGAATATATAATGTTAAGATAAATAATATTAATAATATTAATAATATTAATGTAGACATAAAATAATTGCCTATTAAATTTACTCATAATCTCGGCACTTTTATTCCACATTACACTTATTATTATTGTTTTTAATATGTTAATCAATATTTAATATTATTTTCATTCTACTATAAACTGTAAAAGATACTGCCACCATGGGCGTCACCTTCAAATACCCAATGCTTAATCCAACGAAAAAACCCCTGAACCCATTTGTTTTCCAAATAGTTTTAGCAGTATATAAAAGACCAACAAATCTAGTTGAATCAATTGCACCATAAACTTGCATTCTACGTCTAATAACCTCTAAAGGATATCCTGCAGTTTGTGATATTGCTCCCGCCAATCCCCCAACTGTCAATTCAGCCCATGTTTTTAATGGTACCCTCCTTTTCTGTCCCCTACTATCCAACTTCCCAATCACCAATGATGGTTCGGTTGTAAGTTTTCCAAACTTTGATCTGCAAAATTCAGTCAATTCATAATGTGTCCAGAATGATACACCTGCATACGGTATTATACCCATTATTGTAGGGATTATTCCTCGATAAAAATTTATTATTGGAAAATGAAAGAATTGTAGACGTGATGATGCTGCACCTTCGTTCCATATCTGTTTACATATTGACATCATTCCAAAAGATTTATCTTTCTTAACCTCGAATGCTAATCGAACTCTTAAAAGTTCAAGTGGATATGTAAACAATACTGATGTGACACCTAAGATTTATTTATTTTATTTTTAGGGAGGAAATTATATACATGTGTATTTATATATTTATAGTAATGGTAAAAAAAATAAAGGAAGTACCAGCTAAAGATCCAGCTAATAAATGTTTAGTTGACGTTTCAAGCTCTCTAGTTGGCATTAAAATCTAATATAACAATAGTGGTTTTTTTTTTGGGGAAAAAGAAAAAGAAATCATTAAATAAATCAATTATAATAATAATAATTAAATCAAAAAAAAAAAATCTTGATGAATTTGTTACTATACATGACGAAATTGTTCATATGCTACAAACTTTATTGCAGCATATGGAAAAATTCTTAGAATGGTTGCAGAATGACCTTGTAACAAACCTTTTGGACCACCTTCATTGTATATTTTTTTGGTTGCTTGAAATACTCCTACCCATGATCCTATATATACATATATATATTTATATTATTTAAAAATAGAAAGTGGCATATGGAGTAAAAAAAAAAAGTAGACATTAAAAAAGTTTTTCAAATTCTCAACTTGTTTGAAATTAAAAACCATCTTTGTTAATTTAATTTTGTAAATAGATGGTTATTTAGATATGTTTATTCGTTTACTTCTATTACACGCTATTTTTGAAAATACCTGCATATTTTTGAAAATGTGGATTGCTGGCTTGAAAAAGAATCTTTACTCTATCTAAGGGTGCAATCACTGTTTTTGCCTATGTCATAATATATATAATATATGCAAGATTTATTTTTAATGCTCATAAAATTACATTATATTTTATTTATTATTAAAAATACATACCACGCTGCCTGCTATACCACCCGCTAATCCTGAACGTATTATATAACCTACACTCTGTTTATCATGATAATGGGTTTTTTTTGCTATAACTTCTTGTTTTAAAGACTGCTCTTGCTCTTGATTTGAGTATGAAGTTGTCATTTGTGAAAATTTGATGATTTCAATTTGTTTATTTATAAATATTATATCACATGGTATATGAGCTGACCTATTGTACCTGGTTTTACAAAAAATAATAACAGTTTCTCATTTTCTCATTCTTGTTACCTAGGGTACATAGGGATGTTAATGGTCCAGTCCAAACAAGTCCAAGACCTAGGGGATTGATTTAACCGGTAGTCCTAACAATCTTTATTATTATAATTGTTGTTAGATGGTTAGGATCATCGTTTTTTCATAATAATAAATATATTTTACCAATGACGATTCCCAATGTTTGTTGATGGTAATTTTATGAAAGTACTTCTGATATAATAATAAGGTCTAATAATTCCTTTGCTTCGGATCCTTGTTTCGGGTCCTAGTAATTCATTTACTCTGGGTTTCAATGATTTAAATAGTGATTTAAGAGGAGGAGGACCTTTGCAAAAAAAGAGGTAGTCCAGCACATAGTTTTGTGCAGGGATAGATATTTTGAAATTTTTTCATGAATAAACGACTAAAATAAACGACTAAAATAGTTGATTAAATGGTCGACTAAGATAATCCAATCTCTAGTTCGTTTATTTTCATATGTAGACTTTTGTGGAATCATTAAAAAAATGCATTCTGATACTGTCTTCCAGGCGGTGTATATAGTAAAATATGACACAGGAAAGATCTTGTAGAATGTATTCGAAATTTCCTTCAGAATTTCATAATGGAGATATAATCAAAGAATACATCGGCGATAAGTATGCGTGAATAAAGATCTCATAGTGGGTAAGATGTTTCTATTACACGGTCTTATATTTTGTATAGAATTCAAGTATTACTCTATGTTTTAAATTTAATTGCACCCAAAATTGATTTCGGTTAAACATTTATTAAGATGTACAGCTTTAGTTAATAATGCTCAAACTTTCGATAAAACTGTACATCTAACGAAAGTTTAAATTTATTTTTTTACCCGTCTCGGTAGATTAGTCTCTAGCTTTAATGTGAGAGAGTTCTAAATGTGGCCAAATCTAAAATTAAGATTACACGTTGGAAAAATATTCGTTTATGTATAGACTGTAAAAAACATTCATTAACAAGAAAAAGACTGTTGTGCTGTACGTGTTATGTCTTTACAGCCAGATTTTGCTTCCTCGGGCGGGTCCTTTAATTCAAGAAGTTGTTGAAAAGCATGGACGCAAAGTTATTTTTTTCCCAAGTTTCACCGCGAACTTTAATTTCATTGAGCATTTTGGGGAGTGAAATAACTGCGTTTACATTTTAAAGGATTAGAAAAAACAGTTATGACTCTGTATCATTAGAAACATGCAAGACATTCTTGGAAATTTATTGATGCTTACAATAAAGGATTAACGCTCTATACGCTATAAAGGGCTATAAATATCAAGACGCATTCCAGTAAATCTTGTTTTAATTGAAGAATAATAATAAAAACCAAAAATTTGCTGTATCACTATTTCTTTATTCACTTTGCTTTGCTACGCACTGCTCCAGAATTTTTTATTTGAGAAAAGGTTTTTATATAGTTGAACGTAAAAGATATAAAACATAGTGAAAGGTGATGGATATTTCAATCAATCGAATGGATGCACGATATGCAAGACAAAGTAGACTAATTCAAACAATTTAATATTCATTTTTGATAAATGTTTTTAATTAAACAAATATAACGAAATTTATCATTCTTCTTCTCAATATTAATATTAATTGGTACTGTATTATAGTTCGAGTAATCTAACTCCGACCTACTTTATGTGGTGACTTTGAAATCTATCACATAGATGCACATTAATACTTGTGGGTTCAAACACTTTAAAGGATAAATTTTTGGAGAAAAGATTATTGCTGATTTCTTTGTCACGTGAATTTTTTATGAGAAAAAATATTGTTGATCTCCCCGTTTTGCCATTAATTAAATTAACATAGTGATTGAGTTGTAGAATCAGATGATTAAACAATACAACACGCTCTTTTTCTTTTTTTTGGTATTAGGGTTGTTGGGTAACCTAAATGAGCATTGAATAAAACCATCTAGTCATTATGTTGGATAATTATAATTGATCAGTGAATTCAATGAAAAAAAACGTGGATGATCTGCGAAAATCTCTTGGGTTTTTCAATGTTTGTTTTTAATAGAATTCTTTCTCACATGAAGTACTCATAGTGTCATTTCGCTTTTTTAAAGTTTCAGATGATATGTTGAAAAATCTTCAAATGCATGCTGAAAATAATGAAATAAAAGCCTCTCCCAACGAATTAAATCATAGATATCTAGATTTAATCCAATGTTGCAAAAAAAAAAAAAAAAAAAAAACAAGCAGCTAAAATTGCAATTAAGCAATGATTCTATTCGTAACATAATTTCTTGTTCGATCTTAAACTAATGGTTCGAATAAAAATTTATTTATTTTACTTTGATTTTTGTTTCATTTGTTTTATTTTATTTGAATAATTCTTATTTAGAACTCTGATTAAAGATCGTTATATATATACATAGTACATAGTAATAGATAACGAACATGCAAAATTTTTTTTATATATGAAAAATTTCACTCAATTCTACTACATCCCAAGAGTAAAAATTTTTTTTTCCAATATTCTTAAAGGAAAATACATTTATATATGTATGCTCATTGACATTTGCTTCACAATGTAAAATAAAAAAAGTTATTTTATATTACTAAAGTATAGTAATATTTTCCGATCTTTAGAGTTCACCGAAATAAACTTTTTTTTTTATTGGTATTAAACAATACAATAATGAAACACGAGCCTCATACTGTTGATCATTTTGTTCCTCTCATCATTAATATTAATTAACCCCCTAATTTAAGGAACTCTCTCGTCGTTAATTTGACAAACTTTCTTTTTTAGAAAAAAAGTTATTAATTAAATGAGAGATTGATCTCTCGGAAATTAACTAATTAAATTGACCGAATCATTGTTAGTATTAATTGAATGAAAAAAGTCTGATCTTGATCTAAAATGTAAACAAGTCCGAATTCAAATTTTTAATTATTAATGAATTTGATAAAGTATTTAAAGGAAGCAGCTTATTCTCTTTCTCAAGTCTGTATACAAAAAAATAATAATAATAAAAATAATGAAAAATAATTTTGTTATCGTTATTTTACTCTTTCTTGCTATAACGGGTTTAGGATTTTCAGCGCCACAAAAAAGAGCGACTGATATCACTCCAGATGACATCGCTAGGATTGCTAAACTTGCTCAGAGTCAGGACCCAATAGCTTTACTGGGAGAATTATCACCATTATGTCAATCAGCATTACTTGGTATTGTTGCCTCTCAAGAATTTCTAGATTGCATACCACTTCCTGCATTTTTACCACTTTTACCAATTTTAGCCAATCCTAGTGAAATTGCATCACTTATTTCCGATCCAAAGACTGAACTTCCAAAACTTCAACCTGCCTTGATAGTACTCTCTGATACATTATGTGAATTACCAAAATGTTCTGATCAAGTTGTTGCAGATGCTATTAAGACAATTCAAACCGGATGTAATCCAAATGATATGAAAAACCCAGTATTGCAAATCCTATCTCCTGCTATCGTTTTCTATTCTCCTGCGAGGGACACAATGTGTTTTAAAGACGCTGGAAACCCAAGCCACTTTTGCTTAGTTGAAGATGACATCAACACTTCAATCAGCTTACCTAAATCTCCGTTCAAAATTGCTGGCAGTGACTTTATTGATTCTATTGTATTTGCTGATCCAACAGCCATCTGCACTACATGTAACAAGGCAATTTTTAACAATTTTGACAATTTTATCAATACCAACGATTTGGCTAAACAAATTGTTGCTGGGGCTCAGGCTGCTTTGCACGATTTTAGAGTTTGGTTTGCTGTTAAATGTGGTGCCGGATTTGAAGGTAAATATATCCATACCTTTATAAAAATATGTATACTATAAATATCAATTAGCTTCTAATTCTTTCATTTTTCTTTTATTTTAGATGGTAAGGTACCTGATCCATCAAAACCACCACCAAAAAAATAACGAATTTTTTTTATTTATAAAACCTTATTATAGATTAATTTCAATCATTTAATATAATTTTTATTTATTCATAATATAACTTAATTAACTAATTAATTTGATTCTGATTAAATATCGTTATATATATATATATTAATATACATATATAGTACATAGATAACATACAAATTAAATTTATGACGCCGATCATTTTATTTTATTAACATAATAAATTTGTAGCCTATAGTTTTGATGCATGTAACCTTCCATATTTATCGATTTTTTTAATAAAAAGGGTTAATACGTTTATCGTTTGCCTTATCGTGTAAATTTTTTATATTAATAAAGTATCAACAAAGTAGATCTTTAAGTAAAAACGCGGCTCAATTTTAAAATTAATGGATTAAGGATCAAGGATTAATGAATTAATGAATTAATGAATTCACCTTCTAAAGCTAAAATAATTTTTTGGGAAGGAATTTTTTGTAAAATTTGGGTGTTGAATTGAGAACAATAATAACTGTTTTGTTGTAGAAAATGCATTTGTATATAGATCGAACATGTGAAGAAAATCCATGATCAAATATCTAAAGAAACTCGGAGATTCACTTTTTTTTTTGCTTTTTATAAATATGCTTCTATAAAATTTTCTTGTTGCTACTTTTAATTATTTTTTTTATTATACATTATTTATTTGAGAAATTTTAATTATTGCATACAGATTGCAAAAACCAATTATTTTCATTTTTTCGCCTTCGCTGGAGGCAAAAAGTTGTTCGTTTAAAAAAATTGTTGTTACGCAAGTGGGATTTTTAATCAAAAATACTTTTTTTTAATAAACTATACACTTTTTTTTTAACTATACATTATTTATTTGAGAAGAATTTTAATTATTGCGTACAGATCACAAAAACCAATCATTTTTTTTACTTTCACTGGAAGCAAAAAATTGTTTCTTAACAAAAAATTGTTACGCAAATGGGATTTTTTAATTATTATTACGCAAGTGGGATTTTTTTAATTTCAAAAAATTAAAAATTAACTACTTTTTTTTAATTATACATTATTATTTGAGGAAAATTTATTAATTATTAATTATTGCATATAGATTGCAAAAATCAATCAATCACTTTCACTGGAAGCAAAAAAATTGTTTACTTCGTTTAAAAAAATTTTTTTATTATTATTTGAGAAAAATTTTTTTAGTTCAATCATTTTCATTTTTTCACTGTAAGCAAAAAATTGTTTTCTTCGTTCGTTTTAAAAAATTATTGTTACACAAGTGGGATAATTCTTTATTAGTATCATTTATTTATACTAAATCGTAACAACCAATTTCTGGCATGTTTTCACTCTCAAAACTGTCTTTCACCATCATCAAACAATTTCTTGTACTAAACAATATCTTTTTTAGATTTTACACTACTGATCACGTTTCTTAGTGGGTGCACTCCTTAGCTGTTATTCCATACTCAAGTCAGGTGCGTTCCCAAAACTACTAAATAAAATTCATTAAATATCACCACACTAAAAGAAAAGAAAAGAAATAAAAAAAATGGACAAATATAAAATAAGAGAAAAAATGATTATGCATGGGATTTAGTATGGATTTATTGTTAGGGATAGATTTATTATCATTACGAAAATACAATGTTCAAGTCAACAACCAGGACAAAGATAAGGACAATATTATTTATTATTCCTAATTTATCCTAATTAAATGTATTACTTGAACTTTCAGTGTAGAATTATTTTCAAGTTATTTCTAAAGTGATCCAATAATTTAAATCCTTTCGTTTGAATTTAATCTGAGAATTAAAGGTATGTTACATCAGAATAATTGTTTCTCCGTTGTCTGAGATATACTTGTCGTCGGAATTCCCAAATAGAAATAATACGGTTACGGCATGTGCCGTATTATTTGCCGTAAATAACGTAAACCGTAAAACCGTAAAACCGTAAATACCGTAATAGTAAAT